CCAGGAGCATGTGCCTCATACCTGTTGGACAAGGTGAAGAGCTGAGGCTCCTCTGTCCCTGACTGCAAGTTTCCTCTACCTGCCTCGCTTGCAGTCACACTCTGCTGTCCCTGACCACTGACTGAATTTGAATTTAAGGTACTTAATCTACCAGGTGTGACCGCCTCCTGAAACAAAGCATCCAGGTAACTGTCCCCCTCCCGGATGTGCCGCAGTGTCTGAAGCTTGGACTCCAGCCCATCAATTCTGAGCCAAAGTTCCTCCAGAACCAACTCATATATGCCAGGAGGAGCAGGTAAACAAATTAAAATTGACATGGTCCCATATCTCAATCTTTGGTGAGAGATGTAATTCGAAGTATTGCCAGAAAAAGTGGTAATAGGTAGAATTCATGGTGAGATGAGAAGTGTTCCGTTATGTTAAGTGAGGTTGAAAAGTGTGATGAAATGTGGAGAAGTGGTGGTTGGAGTATTTGAGAAAGTCTTGGTTCCAGGAATACAATTTGTGCTTGGTAATGATATAGCTGGATCATAGGTGGGAGTGGTACCTACTGTAGTTGAAAAGCCAGTGAAAAATCGGACAACCGAGGTATTACAGGAAGTATATCCTGGGATGTTTCCAGACTGTGGTAACAAACTTTGAAGAATAAAGATACGAACGTTGAAGTTCAATTATCAGAGACCATGTTTGATTGAATAGTTAAGAAAAAAACCTGAACAGGTGGAGGACAAAGTGGATATTTTTAGTTGAGAAATTAGCTGAATTACAATGGAAAGATGTAAAACTAAAACAGTTGTATCAAAAATCATACACAGAAGAAGAATCTGAGTGTATCCTAGAATGTTACTTTCTTAAATATGTCACCTTGATGAAGAAATGGAGATCACTACACGTTCAGGTGAGAAGTGGTCAGAAGTTCAAGTTGTATTACCTGTGGTTTGTAGAGAGGAATTGTTGCAGGTAGCGTATGAATTACCAATACGTTGTCATTTGCGTGTAAGGAAAACTCCAGCCAAAATACGTAAGCATTTTCATTGGCCTGGACTGTAAGGATGTGGTTGAATTTTGCCTGATAAGTCACGCGTGTCAGGTAATTGGAAAACTTCAGGTAGTGATAAAACCAGCACACTTAATACCTTTTTGAGGAACCTTTTACAAGGGTCTTAATTGATAATGTAGGACACCTACCTAAAAAAGAAAGTGGGAATCAGTTTTTGGTGACCATAATGGATATGTCCATTAGATTTCCAGAGGCCATTCTATTATGCAGTTTTGCAGCTAAAAGGATTATAGAGGAATAGAGTGTGGAGCTGGAGGAGCACAGCACGTCAGGCAGCGTCAGAGGAGGAGGAAAGTCAATGTTTTAGGTTGGGACCTTTTCTTCAGGACTCTGAGCATCTGCAGTTCTTGCTATCTCCAAGGATTGTAGAGGAGTAATGCAATTTTTTTTTTTTTTTTTTTTTACCAGATATGGACTACCTACAGAGAGACAAATTTTACAAGGGTCAAATTTTACATCAAAATTATTCAAAGAAGTTATGGATAGCTTAGGAATAAAACAATTCAAATGTGTACCATCCAGAATTGCAGGGAGCATTAGAACGGTGGCATCAAACTTTAAAGACCATGTTCATAGAATTCCTACAGTGTGGGAACACGCCCTTCAGCCCATCAAGTCCACACCTTAGCATCCCACCCAGACCCATCCGCCATCCCTTTCCCTATAACCCACCTAATTTACACATCCCTGAACGCTATGGGCAATTTAGCATGGCCAATCCACCTAGCCTGCGCACCTTTTTGACTGCGGGAGGGACTCGAGCACCCGGTGGAAACCCATGCAGACACGGCGAGAATGTGTGCAAAGTTCATACAGAGAGTTGCTCGAGGGCAGAATTGAACCCGGGCCCCTGGTGCTGTGAGGCTGCAGTGCTATAACCACCTGAGCCACCATGCTGCCCAAGTTAGGGACTTCAAGAGAATTGGCAGAAAGGAATTCCATTTGTTTTTGCAATTAGGGATGCACCAAATTGTGAATTTATCAAATTCATCCCCCCATTTGAATTAGTTTTTGGGCATGAGGTAAAAGGACCACTGAAGTTAAGGAGAAATTGATGAGTCAGAGTTCAGAGACCATATATTTGGACTGTGTTAAATTTTAGGAAAAGATTAAATGGAGTGGGTGAATTAAATTGATAGCATTAAAAGTAGCACAGCGTGTGATGAAACAGGAAGTGGACAAGAAATCAAAAATTTGCAATTTTGCTGATGGAGCTAAAATGTTAGTGTTACTTCCAGTGGTAGGTGAATGTTTTAAAAGCAAGGTTCAGTGGGTCTTATTAAATCAAAAGGAAATTGAGCAAGTGAGGTGAATCATTTGATAAGAATGCCAGATACAAAGAAGTCGGTGTCATGTGAATATGCTCAATAGGTATATTGATCAAGAAGGAAAACAAAAGGAGAATGTTACAGTACAGCATGAAGAACCAAGTTCAGAGGATTCTGAATTGGGCATTGCCCAATTTAGTTTGAGGAATGTGGAAGTTCTCAAAAATTGGATGTGGACATATGGTCCCATGGAATGTGAAAACAAAGATTATCTAATATCATCAATGAAGGAGGTACTACGATTCCTGAGATTGAGTGAGTTTTTTATAGCAAGTTCACACCGAATTTTAGCAGTGTGGTTGTTCCACTGACTGAATTATTGAAGAAATGCAGGAAATTTCAGTGGATGGAAGATTCTTAGAAGGCATTGGTCAGCCTGAAAGCTGTGTTAACCACTGTCCCAGTGTTAGCTGCACCTAATTACACAAAGCCATTCAAGGTGGCATCGATGTGGGTGTTGGTGCTGTACTCTTACAAGAAAATGATGAGAAAATAAAGATCTGTTGGGTATTTTTCCAGAAAATTGAGCCATCATCAATGGAAATAGTCCATGATTTTGAGAAGGAAACCTTCAGCTTGGTGTTGGCATTGCAATATTTCCACATTTGTATTGCCAGCAATGTGTCTGAGACAATTGCGTATTTGATCATAACCCCTTTAAAGTTTTTGGAGAAAATTAAGGACATACATTCCAGACTTGATATGGAGCTGTTTATGGCAGCCGTTCAATTTGAAAATTTTACACGTGGCAGGACGAGAGAACGTAATTGCTGACACGTTGCTGAAGACAGATGGAGGCATTTGATGGTGGGAATAAACAGACTGCAATAAACTGTAATCGTGAATGTTTGCATGCATAGAGTCAATGTAACATATTTGAATGGTACTGTACTAATAGTGTAAGATATGAGTTGTTAAAAATGAAGCCACCTTTGCACATTAATGCATCTTTTTTTTTTAAAGGGGAGAGTTGTGATGAGGCTGTGACCTTTAAGAGTTAGAATAATGGGACACTCGTTCATATCTGAGGTGTGAAGAAGTTTTATTCTCTCAAAGTGCAGTGAATGACTAGAATTCTGTACCCCAAAGAGTTGAAGAGAGTAGATCACTTAAAGTATTTCAGAGGAAGTAAATAGCTGTTATTTTTTTGGAATATCAAAAAGTTGTGTGTTAGGAGCTGGCATGAAAGCAGAGCTGAGGCCTAAGCCGATCAAGCATAATCTTATAGAATAGCAGGCTTCAGGAGCTGAGTGGCCTATTCCTACTGATATTTCTCATGTTCACACACCAGATTTTGCCCTCCGTGATCCGCAAAAGCACAACACTCTATACAACACACACTGTGCTCGGTTATTTTTAAAACTGCAGCCATCTCTTTGCAAATCTCTTTCAAAGCTTTGTTTTAAAATTGTATTTTCCTTTTTCTAGTCCCTAGTTGAAAAACAAGATGTGATACTTGCATTTTAATAGGTTCTAATATTTTCCCAACTGTGGACATCAAGCTAACAGGTGTGTAGTCTTCCACTCTCCCTCAGCTTCCCTTCTGAAATAGTGGAAGTTACGTTTGCTAATTTGTCGTGGGCACTTTTCTGTGATCTAGATAATTGAAAAAGTGATCATTAATGCATCCATTAACACTACGACTACGGCTTTGTATGAATGTCATCTGGTCCAGAAACTTATCAAACCTCAGTGCAGCTGTTTTTTCAAGTAGTACCTTTTTCACTGATGCTAACTTCTCTTAGTACTTCAGTTCACAAGCCCCTTAGTCACTTACTAGTTCTAGGACACTTTTTCTGAGTAATCTTTTTGTGATGACAGGTGCCAAGTAACAATTTAGTTTCTTTCCCTGATGTCCATCATAAGTTCTCCTGTCCCCATTAATAGGCCCACATTCATCCTTTCTCATCTCTTTTCCTTTCACATATTGATAGAAGCAGTGTTTTGCTGTTTCCTTACCAATTTCTTTGCTGTCCTTTGCTTGATCCTAAATAACTCTCAATCCTCAGGGTTATCATGCTTACTGGCATTCTTAAATGCCATTTCCTTTAATCTACTGCAGTTGTTGATTTTTTTTTTGCATTAACTATATGGTTGGGTCACGTTTTTCTTTGTTTTTACCTTAGCGGAATGCATATTTTTTTCTCGACCTTGTATTTCTTTGAATTCTAGCCATTGCCTATCTACTGTTGAAATGTTAAAGGGTTAATATTTGTTCTGCTGACATGTAAGAAATCAGGTGCTAAGCTGCTCCGTGGGCGCCTCTGTCTCGCAGACCAAATGTGGTAATCTAATTATACTTTGCTCTCTGTAAATGTTGAACTAAGGCTAAAAAGATAAGGAACTATCTAGTTGTACACATTGTGGGCGGCTGACCTTTCCTTCTACTGTTAGGTGATTAAGTTACGTACTATCATTCTTGCTCGGCATGTGACTATGGAGGAGTAAAAAATTGTATCTTGCATACATGACTGACTATGATGTAAAATCCTATATAAAGGGAGGACGGTTCCCTTATTAGAGAGCATCGCTTGACACGCGATGCTCCAAAGCTTGTACTTAAATTAAACGGTGGCTATTCACAGAAGTTGGCATATTGCATTTGTATCAAGTGTGCAGGAATCTCCTAAAAGGGAACCCAACATTTGGCGACGAGAGTGGGATTCCAACATATATGGAACTTGTGGGGGAATGAATAAGTGATCGCCTGTGTGACGGTAACATGAGACGGATGGACCCATGAGGTAAGATTTACCTTGATCTCTCTCATTAACCTATCACTCAGTCGACCCCCTCGTCACCTAGAACTCTGTAGTGACGGAATCTCCGAGATAACTTACGCACTTGTACGCTGACGAGTTCATCTCCGGGAGGTTTGAGTCCCCCTGAAATTTGGAGGTTAGAGTCCTCCAATACCAGGGTTCGAGTCCCTGGAACATAGTACCTAAGGTAAAGGATAACGACAGTGTCTGTCTCAACCACCCTGCCTTAGACCAGTTGTTAAGAGGGGAAATCCCCCATGCGAAGGTCAGGACCTTGAAGTGGGTGTGGAGACCAAGGACACTGGACTAGTATATAGAGATAAGTAAGAAGTTGAAGTGTTAAAATGGGACCGACGTTGGATAAGCCGGGAGTCGGAACCCCTTTGCATCGGTTATGTTGGGATGACCCCGAAAGCGAAGAACAGTTCAGACAGCTGTCGGCATGCCTAAATAAGAAATTGGGAAATGAAATTTGGCCAATAGGGGGAACTTGGGATGTAGATAAATGTATAACAGCGGAAGAGGCAATTTGGAAACGTAATACGGGGACGAAATAGAAAACGTTAATATCCGTGGAGAAAGACTGCTGAGGAAATAATGAATAAATCTAAACAGGCCAGCTGGGAGAACAATGCACGTCAGAGAGGGATTTGAGTATGTGATCATGAGGGAAACCCTAAGTCATGGGAGGTGTTGAAGCGGCAGTGTGAGGATTATGATACGAGTAAAGCAGAACAGGAAAGATTGAGAAAGGAGAGGCAAAATAAGGAATCCGGGTTGAAGTGTCAAGCCGGTTTATCACGTGGGAATAAAATGGAGGTACCTCCTGACATATCTGGTCTGTCAATATTGTTCCAAAATAATGACACCGATGACCAGGAGGGGGATTGGCAAATTCCGCCTAGTGCCCCACCCATCCAACCATTTGTGCCACCACTTCTTAACCTCCCCTCGACCGGACCTTTCAGATGCCCCATTACCCACACCGGATCTTACCCTCTTCGATATCACCTTTTAGGAGTTCCCCTTTCAGGATACATAATTGTGAACCACACAATCACTTTAGAATCGGCCTCCTTCGATCCTCCGGTATCTGCTCAGAAAGCAGAGCTCTTTGCTTTAACACGGGCTTGTACCCTGGCTACAGGAAAATCGGTAAATATATACACGGACTCACGATACGCCTTTGGCGTGGCCCATGACTTTGGCCAGCTATGGTCGCAGCGTGGATTTCTGACCTCAGGGACACGTATTCAGAACTCACTATACATCCAAAATCTCCTCCAAGCCATCCTCCTCCCCAAGCAATTGGCCGTAATCAAATGTGCGGCCCATGTAATGGACAATACGGATATCAGCAAAGGCAATGCCAGAGCTGATCGAGCTGCCAAAGACGCTGCAACAGCACGCAATTCTATTGTGTCCTCTATGAACCGGCGGGCGTTAAATCGCTCACCTGCCTTGAAAACAACGGGCATACCAGACATTGTCACTGTGCAGCATTTACAGGGGGATGCCCCTGACTCTCAAAAAGAAATATGGAAGACGCATGGGAGTTCGCACTCTGCGTCAAGAGGTCTCTGGATCACTCCAGTTGGCCAAGTGTGTATACCTGATGCTTTGTTACCAATGCTTATTGACTGTCTTCATACTGATTCCCTCCTTGCCAAGGAGGGAATGAGTAATATCATGTTACGTACCTGGTGGCACCCCCGATTAGCTGAGGCAGCCCAGAAGTGTGTCAGGTCATGTCTGACATGTCAGCAAAATTAATGCCGGCCAAGGAATACGGTGTGTAACGGAAAACACCCTTGCCAGGCGGCCCATTTGAGTGTATTCAGCTTGATTTCATTGAATTGCCATGTGTACATTGCTATAGGTATTGTCTTGTTATTGTTGATGTATTTAGCAGATGGATTGAAGCCTTTCCAACCACTAATAATAAAGCCTCCAATGGTGGTAAAATTGCTACTGACAGACATCATACTGAGGTTTGGAGTGCCTCGACAGATTAGTTCAGACAATGGCCTCCACCTTGTAGGAAACATCAACAAAGAACTATGTGAGGTGCTGCATATCCAGCAGCAATTCCATTGTGCTTACCACTCTCAGGCGGCAGGAATAGTGGAAAGGACGAACGGGATTCTTAAAACCATAATAACTAAGTTAATGTCTGAAACAGGCCTCAACTGGTTGAAGGTCTTGCCTTTAGCCCTGTATCATATGAGGATTACCCCACACTCGACCACTGGACTGTCAGCCGCAGAAATAATTTATGGCCGACACAGACCCACCTGCCCACGTAGACTTGTATATTATGGGAGAGGAAATGCAAAGATACTTTCAGCAGCTATCATCGTCTCTAAAGTTTCTCCATTCACAGGTAAAGCACACCTTCGGACCACCATCACAAGCGACGGATCAGAGATCAGACGACCAGAATGAACCCCCCCAGACTGCAAATGGGAGACCTCATGCTGATCAAAGACTGGGATTGCCCCAAGCTCGGACCCAGGTGGAAAGGACCATTCCAAATACTCCTTCGGACGCCAACGGCAGTCAAAGTCCGAGGACAGAGTCGCTGGATCCATCTGAGTGACTGTAAACGATGGGGCCCTCAGATGGCCTAAAGACTACACTCGCACTCTGCGGTATTAGGCCTGGAGGACAACTTGTTTTATAAGGCTCATATGCATTTGCATGGTAATCTGACTGTGTGTTACCTGCTTGCCCAGTCAGTAGAGGCGTTATTTGTAGCCATCCCTGGGTGGACCCCCCTCCTCAACCTATACACCACAGATACTTCAGACGCCCCCTGTGTGGGTCAAAGCGGGAGGCTCAGAAGGGGGACATCAGGACGGTGCGTAGAGCTGATAAATTCAGATAGATCTCAGTCCCCTAGCTGCACAGGAACCCAGGGAAGAAATGGTAGAATTTGCTCTGATCCCATGAACTATCCACTTTGCTTCTCAGGACGGGGATGGGGTTGTGCATACGCTTTGGTCCCCACGAATGCCTCTTGTGCCCAAAGACAATGTGCCCGCAGATGTTGCCAGGTGAGCAATGGAATATTCACCTGCACCTGTGATGAGGAAAGGTGCTTAAATGTTACTGCAGGAAGATAGTTCATTTGTGGGCATTGTAACGGAACCCATGTCAGCTCTGCCTTTTGGTCATATCCTTTTTACGATTACCAACTGATGGGATCCGGAGGGAATTCCGGCCAGGAAAGAAACTGGAGATATAAACAGTTCACAAGTGCCAATAACAAAGTAGTCAAATGCTACTGGACCAAAAGAGGGTTTGCGTTCCTTCTCAACGGGACCTTTACTACGGCCACCCCGGCTCTCCCCGTCCTATTCGGTGTAGGGACAATAGGACCACTTACTGTCCCATGCCCACAGAAAGCACACACCCTGTGCAGAATAGTTACCCGAGCTATTAGTGAGGAATTTTGTGCGGATTGGAAGGACCCAGTAACTCTGGGATCTTCCCTTGGCTACGGGTTCCTGGGGGCGCTGTCCCTCGGAGGATCAGCGGGAGTAATAGCAGCGAAGAACCGGAACTACCTCCATTGTGGGTTAACTATCCTGGGAAACAGTGCAGTGAGGGGACTGGAAGCGGTTAATCGGGAATTGGCAGAGTTAAGGCTCTACGCGCAACAGACTAGATATGCAGTGGATTATCAATTGGCCCAACAGGGGGAGTTTGTACAATAGTAGGAGACAAATGCATCACCCATGTTACGGACGAATCATAAAACGTAACCCACGCCATCCAGTCTATTAAGAAACAATTGGAAGATGTCAGACAAGGTCCTAAGAAAGGAGATGACTGGCTAGGGTGGCTACTGGGAGGATCCTGGGGATCCTATCTACTGCATGGGCTAGTAATTCTTGTTGTTATCATTGTATGTTGTGTGTTAATAACTTGCTTAAATACTGGCTGTAAGATTCTTATGAATAAGCTGGCGGCACCTTTCTCAGCCCCCATTTAGTTGGTTATCATGAAATGATAAAAGGAGGGAATGAAATGTTAAAGGGTTAATACTTGTTCTGCTGACATGTAAGAAATTAGATGCTAAGATGTGCCGTGGTTGCCTCTGTCTTGCAGACAAAATGTGGTAATCTAATTATACTTTGCTCTCTAAATGTTGAACTAAGGCTAAAAAGATAAGAAACTATCTAGTTGTACACATTGTGGGCGGCTGACCTTTCCTTCTACTGTTAGGTGATTAAGTTACGTACTATCACTGTTGCTCAGCATGTGACTATGGAGGAGTAAAAAATTGTATCTTGCATACATGACTGACTGTGATGTAAAATCCTATATAAAGGGAGGACGGTTCCCTTATTAGAGAGCATTGCTTGACACGGCTCCGCAAGCCCTGCGAAGATTAAGTGATCCTCCAAAGCTTGTACTTAAATAAACTGCAGCTATTCACAGAAGTTGGCATATTGCATTTGTATCAAGTGTGTAGGAATCTCCTAAAAGGGAACCCAACACTGTCAAATCTTGTGTATTTTCCCTATTCATCCTAGGCCCTCATATATTCTTAGTTTCCTTTGCTCAGAGTTAAGGCTACAGTCTTAGAATGAGCTGTGTTGCATTCAAACTTCATGTAAAATTTTATCATATTATAGTCACTTTCCCATGACTCCTTTTGCAGCAAGGCTATTAGTTGCCCTTCCACATTATACAATTCCAAATACAAAATTGCCAGATCCTGAGTTGGCTCCTCAACATATTGTTCAAGAAATCCATCTTGTAAACACTCCAGTAATTTATCCTTTCCAGCAGTTAACTCAGTCTATATGCAAGTCAAAATAGCCTGTTTATTGCTGTATTACGCCTGTTTACATGCATCTTTAATTTCCTGACTAACAGTATGTCAGCATTAGTACTACATTCAGGTTTTCTCTAAGCCACTCTCAACACTGTCTGATCCCCTTTTTTTTTGTGTTTCTTATCTTCACCCTCACTTTGTACATCTTGATCCTTGGAACAAAGATCCTCTGGTAGTAACATACTGATGTGATCCTTTATGTGTGCTGTCCCACCTCTTTCTTTTACCTTTTTTATTTCTTGTTTATCCCTTCTAAATGTGGAATATGATTGGATAATCAGTTCAGTCTTGGTTGCCTTATAACCACTTCTCTGTAATGGCAGTTAAATCTTATCTATTTACCTCCATTGGTATGTACAAATCATTAATCAGAGTTGAGTACAGTTGCTTTGGGAGTCTATTGTCAACATGCCCCTCCAGCAAAGTTGGCTATGTGTGATTAACTCCTTTGATGCTGACCATGGTGGCTTGGGAGGGAATGCTGGTGTTGGCCTGCTACTAGTTTTGGAGAATCTTGTAAAGGCACTGCACACAATTTTTAATTGAGAAAATTTATCTTGATCTACTGCTTGCTCTCTTGACACATGAATGTATTCGTTTTGCTTTCAATGTTATTATATCTTTTCCAGTGCCTTGTGTAAGTTCAGGGAAATAGCATCAACACATCTTTTATCTATGTTTTTAGCTCTTTTTTAAATTAATTGTCATGTTGCTCCAGCGTGAACTATTTTGAGATCTGCACTGACAAGTACTGTTTTACTCATGTTGCTTCAAATGCTTTGTGATATAGGTTAATTGACCAATAGTAAGACTGAATAGTTCATAATTACTCAAGCTAATTGCGGTCTCCATTTGTTTTAAGAATGCTATGTTTCTGATCCTCCCGGTTCTCTACCACAATTTTACTTCCCAGGACATGTTGTGAAGTAATGGTCAGAAGTTTCCTTCATGTTTGAGTGAACCGCTCAATTTCCAATGATTTCTTTATATTAAATTTATGAATTTCCCTTGTGTTGCAGATTTACAAAGTTGTTGTGGAGATTGGCCTGATTATGCACTGGTGCAGAGTGACCTCTTCAGTATGGACGATCACTCCACGAAAGAAACTATTCTTCCCTGCTATGTCCATCGGTCCCTTTTCATATTGCTCATACTGATGACAGTACTGATGCTGATTTTAAACTTGCGTAATATGAAGGTATGTACAGTAATATAGCCAGCATGCTTGGAGTAAAATGATCATGTGCACTGTGGTTTGAAGTAGGATTGTTTTAAGAAATAGAATGGTTTGTTTCTCCAGCATCAGACGTTGAAATGGAGAATGCCAATTTGATCACGTTTCGGTGTGTTTTCTCTGTACAAGTAGGGCTGAGTTTTCTCCCAGTTTGAATGCTGTTGAGTTGTATGTGCTCAGTGTATGGTGACCATTGGGTTCCAGACCACCCCTCATACCGTCGTTGACCACCTAATTAGAAGGGATACAACAGCCGTCTGAAGATGTTTTGTCTGTTTTCCTCTTCTCCCTTTCCCCACCTATGAAGACAAATATGATAGCCCCTTCAGAATCACATCAGGATTTCAGAGTAGGAATAGTGAATTTGGGTCTTACTGATTGAGTGCCGTAACATCAGTAAGAAGTTTAAGTCCATTTGTCTCTGTGCAGTTTTGCTGTTCACATTTTATGAAAGGATTTATATTTATGATTACAGTGAAGAGAAGGTTCATTAAATTGTTCCCTAAGATGGTGCGTTTGTCCTATGATGAGAGACTAAGTATATTTGGCTTAAATTTGTTAAAGTCTCTAAGAATAAGTGGTGATCTCAATGAAACTTTGAAGGGGCTTGTGGTGCGTATTGAGATCCCTATTCAAGGAATCTAGAATTTGTGGACAGCTTTGGGATAAGAATAGATCAGAGGCTAGGAATACTCAGGGAATCATTCATCTTCTGACTCCCCAAATCCTGTTCACCATCTACAAGGCATGTGTCAGGAGTCTGATGGAATACCCCTCATACCAAGATGACTTAAGCTCCCACGACACTGAGCTTGACACCATCCAAGGCAGAGCTTGATTAGCATTGCACCCACTCCTGGCACTACCATTGCCCAGTGGTAGCAGTATGTACTATCTACAAGATGTACTGCAGAAATTTGCCAAAGATCCTTAGACAGCACCTTCCAAACCCACAACTGTGTAGACCCATTTCCATCTAGAAGGACAAGGGCAGCAGATGCATGGGAACACCATCGCTTGTAAGTTTACCTCCAAGCCATTTACAATCCTGATTTGGAAACATGTTGCTGGATCAAAATTCTGGAATTCCCTCCCTAAGGACATCATGGGACTATGTACAGCACATGGACTTTAGCTCACCACGCACTTCTGAAAGGCAACTAGGTCCTGCCAGCAATACCCACATCTCATGAGAGAATTAAGGAAATGAAAAAGATCAAAGGAGGCTTTATACAGACTTGAAGAGTCTGAGTGGGCAAGCACGTGGCAGTTGAAATATGAACAAATGAGTAAGGAGTGGGAGTGGTCCGTTGAGCTCCTTAATCCCGTTCCTCTCTTCTGTAGGATCATGCCAGATCTGACTGTAACCTCAAATCCACACTCCTGCCCATTGTTAAACAATAATTGATCGATTCACCTTTTGCTTTAAAAATATTCAAGGACTTTTCTTCCACCACCTTTCAGGAAGAGACTTTCAATGTCTTTCATCTTGAGAGAAAATGTTTTTCCTCATCTCCATTTTAAATAGGCATCCTCTGATTTTTAACCAGTGACCCCCAGTTCATAATTCTCCTTTTAAGAGGAAACACCTTACATATGTACCTGTTAGGACCTTCTCAGGGTCTTGTATATTTCAATCAAGTTGACTGTGACTCTTTTAAACTCCAGCAGATACATGCCAAGCCTATCCACTGTTTCCTCAGGGTAAACCTCTCATTCCAGTTATTAGGCTGGTAAACCCTCTCTCTAAACTGCCTCAGACACAAAATGTGACTGTGCTTGAATATAATGTAAGGAAGTGTGAAGTTAACCACTTTGGTACAAAAATGTGGAATGGTAAGTTGAGGGGGGTTGTGAAGTACTGAGCAAGAGCACGTCAATTGCTTTGGACATCATGTGTATCACTAAATTATAGCGTGCTCATAATCTCTAGAGTTTCGAAGAATGCGAAGTATTCTTACTGAAATGTTTTTAAGATCACCCCATTGTCATAAACATTAGACAATACAGGCTCAGTCTCCTTAATTTCATCTTAACATTCCTGTTATCCCAGAAATCAGTCTTGTGAATTTCTGTTGAAGTCCCTATATGACAAGTATGTCCTTCCTTGGATAAGACACGATATTCAGTACTCCAGATGTGGAGTACTAAGGCTCTGTACAAATGCAGTAAGATGTCTTTTGCTCTTGAACTCAAATCCTTTTATGATATCATTTACCTTCCTAATTGCTTTTTGCATCTGAATGTTAGCTCAAAGTGACTTGTGTATAAGAAAATCAAGTTTTTACTTTGGATGTCAACACTTCCTAATCTCTCACCATTTAAGAATGCCTTTCCAGTTTGTTTTCTACCAATGTGGCCAAATTCATATTTTTTCATATTCTATTTCATCTAGCTTGTTTATTCCCTTTATTCTGGCAACTTAGCAAGTGTGAGGAGACATAGACATCTTCCAATGTACAAGAACCATTCCAGATTCAGAAGTTTGGAAGGTGATCGCCAATGCGTTAATTTGTGGACAGTCTCTTTCAGACTCTGGGATAGTAAATCCCCTGAACATCATGATTTATAACTTGTAGACCCAACTTCTTCCCAGTATGATTGCTTGTTTCTTGTTCTTTCCTTGTTTACATTCATTCTGTGGTTTTAGTATTTCTGGGAGGATTTTGAGATTCCTGTGTGAAGGGTGGTATGTATTTGTTTAGTTTCTCTACCATTTCCTTTCTCCTCATTCTGTTGTCTCTACCTACAATAGACCCGCATCTGCCATTGCTGATTTCTTCCACTTTAGATATCTGGAAGCTCTTACTATCTGTTTTTATATTTCATGCTACTTTACTTCCCTATTCTACTTTCCCCTCAGTTTTTTTTGGTTGTCTGTTGAAATTCTAAAATCCTCTGTCCTTGGGCTCACTCCTTTCTCTTGGCAACTTTATATGCCTCTGAAGACCAGAAGAAATAGGAACAGGAGAAGGTCATTCAGCCCTTTGAGCCTGTTTCACCATTCAGTAGAATCCTTGCTGATCCAACATTCCTTATCTCCACTTTACTGTTATTCTCGTAATCCATGATTTCCCTGACTTCAGCCTTAAATATTCACAAGACTCTGCCCCCACAGCTGTCTGTGACAAGGAATTCCAAAGACACTCATCCCACATTATACTCCATTTCTCCACTTTTTGCCCACTTATACTATCAATCTCTCTCTCTGTAAAGTGTTTTTATCCATCTTGAAACCTGCTTTTCCACCTATTTGTTTTATTGGCAAACATGGCCACAATACATTCACTTCTTTCTTCCAAGTCATTAATATATATTGTAAACAGTTGCGTCCCAGCATTGATCCTCGTGGAACCCCACAGGTCACAGATCGCCAGCCTGAAAAAGAACTCCGTATCCCCACTTGGTATTCCCTGTCCATTAACTAATTTTCTATCCATACCCATATATTACCTCCAACACTGAGCTATTACCCTATGACTTCACCTTTTGAGGTACCTTGTCGAATGTCTTTTACATCTACTGCTTCCCTTCTGTCCACTGTTTGAGACTTGCTGAAAAACTCAAAATTGGTCAGACATAATTTCCCTTTCATGAAGTCATGCTGGCTCTTTCTTTTGATCTATTATAGTCTTTACCTTCACTTGTTGGCCACAGTTGTATAACTTTTCTTGTTGGCTTTTTGTGTCTCCAAAGAAATGTAGTTTTGTTGTAAACCATGTATTAATTCTTTAAGTGTCAGCCATTGCCTGTCTACTCCATGCTCTGAGACAGATTCACTACTTATGACAGCCACTTTTCACCTCATGGTTTTGTAGTATAGTTTGTTCAGCTTTAAGACCCTAGTTTCGTATTGAACTACATTTTCTTTCAAACTTTACATCAGACGTTTGTTATCTGGTCAGTCTTCCCTGAAGGCTGTTCCATGAGACTATTGATATTGCTTTCTCATTCCATAATACTGGATCTAAAATAGCCCAATCTCTAATGGGTTTTTCCAACATAGTGTTTTAGGAAATTGTCTTGTATAAATTCCAGAAATTTAACTTCCACTGCAATACTACTGGTTAGGTTTACCTAGTCTATATAGTACCCATGATTACTGTATTACCTCTTTTTTAATATGTGTCTCTTAATTTCCTGAGTTATAGTTTGTCCTATGTTACCACTGTTTGGTGACACATATAAACAACTCCTGGCAACGTCTGCTGCTTCTTGATGTTTCTACGTCCCGATCTTCCAATCCAAAATCATTTCTCACTATTGTACTGATCCCCTCCTTTATTAATTGTGCTAGTGCCTCTCTTTACTTTTTGTTTATTGTTTCTAAATGTCGAACACCCTTAACATTTTTTATGGATTTTGACACCGTTTGATACTGGCCTTTGTTCTGTAGCCTTTCAATGTTGCTTTCTAATCTTCCTAACATTATCAGGTTGTTTCTCTTTTATCTGACTTCCCTCTCAGGTCCCCATCCCACTACCAAGCTAATTTAAGCCTCTCTCACCGCGCCCCCCCCCCCCCCCCCCCCCACCGCAATAGCACTCGCTAATGGGTATTGGTTCTGTCAAGGTGTAACCTATCTTCCTTTTACAAGTCCCATCTGCCCCAGAAACTTCCAATACTTCAGAAGCATAGAGCAATCTCTCCATCATTTCTCCAGTTAAACATTCATTTTGTTCAGTCCTGTTTGTGTACTCACTAGCATGTGACGTTTGGTGTCATTTAGAAATAACTGTCTTGGAAGTCCTGCTTTTCAGTGTTTTTGCTGAGCTCCTAAATCCTCCTCCTTAAGGATATTGCTGTTCTTTCCACCAATGTGAACCACCACCTCCTGGTAGTTCATCCTCTAGCAAAAGAATGCTCTGCAGCCACACAGTGACATTCTTGCTACTTGCATCAGAGAGGCAACACACCATTTTGACATCTCATCTATGACTACAGAAGTGCCTGTATGTTTCCCCCACTGCTGAATCTCTTACTGCTATTCTCTTCCATACCTCTTCCTTCCTATTTGTGCAGCTGAGCCATTGTACTGTGGGTTTGTTTTGGCTGCGCTCCTGTAAGCCAGGGAATAACCTTCACCAGTAGCAAAACAGAACAGTGGTGAGTGAACCCGATGTACTCAGACTCCAGCGCTCCCTGCCTGGCCCTCCTAGATTGACTGGTCACCTTCTGCCTGCATTCTCTTAACCTGCAGTGTGACGGCCTTCCTAAATGAGCTCTTCATATAGCTCTTAACCTCTGGAGGGTGCATCACGGTGATTCCAACTGATTTCTGAGCTCAAGTTTCTATAACAAGTGACACTTCCTGTGTACGTGGTTGTCTGAGACATGAGGAAGTGTAAATGGTTTTCTGTGTCCTAAGATGCAAGTTTTTTTGTGCAGCTGAGTTGCTCTGCGGTGTATTAACTTTAATTTGCAGACTATTATTGAAAACTGGAGATTAGAAGATAGAATTACTCACCAGTTGGCTCAGCAGAAGGAACCAATGTCATATAATTTTAGTTCTGATGTTACATTCTCCAACTCTGCCTGTGGCTGCATTTTGTGCACTGCTTAGCTCTTGCTACCTTTTGTCACTTCCCAAGCTGAAATATAGCTGCTTAAATGTATTTCATTCTTCCATTTTTGTAGGTTTCCAGCAATTTAAAGAACTCACCCTGCCTAACATAGTGTACTAACTTATTTCCGCTCAGTTTCTAGCGGTAATTTCTCAGCAACTAGTCAAATTTAGTCTTCCTGTAATGTGACTGATTTTAATTTATTTTTTCTGTTGAAACTCTGTCTGTGCCAACCTTCTGAAGCCGGTGCTTCATGCCCCAAGCACACTGTAAATCCTACTCTATAAATGCAAAGGAGATGGCATTCCCTTTCATCGTTCTTTGCCTGAAAGCTGGCCCTTGGCTCGTTATCTGCTTAGTATCTGTTTTCCAGACGACGTGGAGTAGGGATCAGCCATTCAGCCCCTCCAGTCTGTTCTGCCATTCATTTGAATCGTGGCTTGATTGATTGTGACCTCAAATCTGCTTTCCTGCCTACCCTTGATAACCTTTCGCCCCTTTACTTAACAAGAATCTATCTACTTCTACGTTTTAAAAGTATTCAAAGATTCTGCTTTTTTCAGGAAAAGAGTTCTAAAGACTCCTGATCTCCTCCAGATTCTTTTTTAAACTCCTCTCAGTTTTAAAGGGCCAACTTCTGTTTCTCAGTGACCCCTCATTCCTGATTCTTCTGTAAGAGGAAACATCTCCCCTGTATCCAACCCACCACGATCCCTCAGAATCGTGTTTGTGTTTGTTTTGTGGTTTTGGTTTTGTCACTAGTGTTTTACCATTGCCTTCCCCTCAGGAGTAGGGCAAGGAGGCAGGTCCTAAATTTAATTCAGCTGGAATGGAAATGTGTTGTATGACACTTATTCTGAACTCTACAGCAGTCACCTAACTATCTGAACTAACAGGCCTGCCAGATAGGTAGCCTGGCAGCTTTAGTTGCAGAGGCTGGTGTTGAACACTCAAAGCTAACAGCCATCTGTTGGCTCAGATGGGGCTGGATCGCCTGCCCTTGAATAAGTAAAACGTTGTCACGTGTGAAATAGCTGTGACTGGTGCATTTTCAGCAACTTTTTGGGTGGCAGGGCAGGAATCCTGAAAAGCCCCTGAATAAAAGCAAAATACTGCAGATGCTGGAAATCAGAAAAACACCCAGAAAATGCTGCAGAAACTCAGCAGGTTTGTTAGAATGAGTGGAAATTGAAACATAATTAACTTTTCAGACTGGTAGGAGTATTCTGTATTTGAAGAAGAGTCACATTGATCTTGAAATTTTAACTCTGTTTCTTCCTCAGATGTGCTGAGTTTCTCCAATATCTTCTGTGTTAGTTATCCAAAAAACCTGCATGTGGTGCAGCAATCTTGAAGTCTGTTACCTGATCCACTCTTCTGTGCTTTATTTGTTGAAAGTGTTTGGAGATAAAATGTGTGTGATGACAGTGCAAAAAATATTCATAACAAATGCTTTTTCTTTTCATAGTATGATAAATATTCAATTTCTGGATCCGAATCTAAATGGAGGAGTTATCCAACTCCAAAATTTTATTCTGCTGTGAGGCAGAAAGTGGAAACCAGGAATCTCCATTGGACCGACAGGCTGGTGCAATGTGGCTACCAGAATCACAGCTTCACCCCTGAAGAAAGGTCAGAGGGAACACTCATTATGAAAATGATCGAATGGCCAAAACCACCCAACTCTTCTGTGCCCTTTCAGAAAAGCAGCAACCCAGCACATGTTCGCTTTGTAATTTTAAATTCTGCAAAGACTTTCTATGTGGGAGATCAGTTACAAGTGATGCTGCAGATGTATGATTTTGAAGGTCACCCAAAGCGATATGGAGGTGACTATCTCCAAGCTCGGATCCACACCCCAGCTTTAAAAGCTGGTTCAGCAGGAACGGTTATAGACAATGAAAATGGAATTTACTATATCAATTTTAATTTATCTTGGCCGGGGAAAGTTGAAGTTTCTGTTTTATTAGTTCATCCCAGTGAAGGGATACAAGCACTTAAAAGACTACGTGAGGAACGGCCAGAGAGAGTGTATTTTAAAAGTGCCTTCAAATACCGGGGTACTTCAGAAACCACTACGTGTAATCTTAATTTGCCTCCATCTAAACCACTCTGTAACTTTACAGATGTCAGGACTGGGGAGCCCTGGTTCTGTTACAAACCAAAGAAGCTTCCCTGCTCTGCTCGTATCAACCATGCTAAAGGAGGCTATGAGAAAAATCTCTTAATTGGGGAAGAGAGGCATTATTTCCAAAGGTAACTGAATTAATGTTCTTCTATTTATTGTTTGGTTTCTTTTAAAATCTCAATCTCAAGCAGACTGTTATAAAAACATGAGGTATAGAACCAAACATCCCAATTCTAGATTATACTTGAGAGAAATCAGGAGGGCAAAAAGATGACATGAGATATCTTTGGCAAATAAGACGAAGGAGAATCCAAAGAGATTTTGCAAATACATTAAGGACAAAAGGGTAATAGGGAGAGAATAGGGCCCCTTAAAAATCAGCAAGGCTGTCTATGTGTGGAACTGCAAGAGGTGGGGGAAATACTGATGCAAAATACTTCGTGTTTACTGTGGAGAAGGATATGGTAGATAGAGAAGGTGGGGAAATAAATAGCAACGTCTTGAAAAATCTCCATATTGCAGAGGAATCAGCAGTGGACATTTTAAAACAAAAGGTAGATAAATCTCCAGGACCCGATCAGTTATACTCTCGATTCTGTGGGAATCTAGGGAAGTTATTGCTGAGATATTTGTATTATTGATAGAGGTGCTGGAAGACTGGAGGTTGGCTAACATGATGCCACGGAATATCCAGCGAACTACAGACAATGAGCCTGCCATTAGTGGGCAAGTTGTTGGAGGGAATCCTGAGGGACAGGATTTGGAAAGGCAAGGACTGATTAGGGATAGTTGACATGGCATTGTGCGTGGGAACATGTGTCTCTCAAACTTGATTGAGTTTTTTTTGAAGAAGTAACGAAGAGAATTGATGGTAGAGCAGTGGATGTGATCTACACGGACTTCAGTAAGGCGTTTGACAAGGTTCCTCATGGTAGACTGTTTTTAGCAAGGTTAGATCACATGGAATACAGGGAGAACTAGCTTTTTGGATATAGAACTGGCTTGAAGATGGGTGGTGGAGGCCTGTGACAGCAGTGTGCGACAAGGATTGGTGCTGGATCCATTGCTTTTTGTCATTCCTATAAATAATAGGAATGTGAACCTAGGACGTATTGTTAGCAAGCTTGCAGATGACACCAAAATTGGAGGTATAGTGGACAGCGATAAAGGTTACCTCCAGAATACAATGGGATCTTGATCTGATGGGCCAATGGGCCGAGAAGTGGCAGATGGAGTTTAATTTAGATGTTTAATATTCAGGCCACTATACTACCAGAAGGAGGTGGATGCTTTGGAGAGGGTACAGAAAATGTTTACCAGGATGTTGCCTGGCGTGGAGGATTTTAGCTATGAAGAAAAGTTGGATAGTCTGGGTTTATTTTCACTGGAACACAGGAGGTTGAGGGGCAACCTAATAGAAATTTATTAGATTGTGAATGGCGTGGATAGAGTGGAAAGTATGAGGCTTTTTCCCAGGGTGGAGGGATCAATTATTAGGGGACACAGATTCAAGGTGTGGGGTGTGCGTAGTGGTGGAGTTTAAAAGGTACATGGGAGGCAAGTTTTGCATACGAAGGGTGGTGACTGCCTGGAATGTCCTGCCAGAGGAGGTGGTCGAAGCAGACACAATAGCAACATTCAAGAAGCACCAGGACAAATACATGAATAGGAAGGGAATAGAGGGAAGTTAGTGTGGAAGGGCAAAATGCGGTGGGGCAGGCTTGGAGGGCCGACAGGCATGTTCCTGTGATGTATTGTTTGTTCTTCTTTGCTCTAGATAAATGTGAGGTGCTGCATTTTGGAAAGGCAAATCAGGCAGGACCCTCGTACTTAAGGTTAAGGTCCTGGGAAGTGTTGCTGAACAGAGACCTTGGAGTGCAGGTTCATTTGTTCCTTGAAGTGGAGTTGCAGGTTGACTGGATAGTGAAGGCAGCGTTTGGTATGCTTGCCTTTATTGTCAGTGCATTGAGTATAGGAGTTGGGAGGTCACATTGCAGCTGTACAGGCCACTTCTGGAATACTGCATGCAGTTCTGGACTCACTGCTATAGGAAGGATGTTGTGAAACTTGGAAAGAGATCAGAAAAAATTTACAAAGATGTTGCCAGGATTGGAAGGTTTGTGCTATGGGGAGAGGCTGGATAGGCTGGGTCTATTTTCCCTGGAGTGTCAGAGGCTGAGGGGTGACCTTACTGAGGTGTATAAAATCATGACTGGCATGGATAGGGTAACTAGAAAAGGACTTTTCTCCAGGGGTTGGGTGCATAACTAGAGAGCATAGGTTTAAGGTGAGAGGGGAAGAGATTTGAAAGGGATCTAAGGGATCCACTTGTTCACGTGGAGGGTAGTGTTTGTATGGAATGAGCTATCAGAGGAAGTGGTGGGGGCTGGTGCAATTACAACATTTAAAAGGCATCTGGATGGGTAATGAATAGGAAGGGTTTAGACGGATATGGGCCAAATGTTTGCAAATGGGATAGATTTATTTAGGATATCTGATCAGCATGGATGAGTTGGACCGAAGGGTCTGTTTCTGTGCTTATATCACTATGACTATGACTCTGGCTCTGACTCTGGCTCTGACTCTGACTCTGACTCTGGTAAGTCTGTTCGAAATATGACTGTATTTAACAGCAACAAAACCTGAGATTATGAAGTGACTTTAACATAGCAAAACATCTCAAGGTGCTCTAGAGGAGTTTTATCTAACAAAATGTGACTAAGCCGCATAGGACATATCGGCACGTTGATCAAAAGCTTAGTTGAAGTCGAAGGCCTTTAGCATCTTTAAAGGAGATGGAAAGTGCAGGGGAAGTGTCGGATGGGAATTCCAGAACGTGGGGTGTTGTCTACCAAAGATCCAGTTGTCAATGATTGAGCGATTTTTGAAATGGAGAATTTGCAAAAGGGCAAAATTGGAGGTACATATCTGAAACAAGGTTGGAGAATATTACAGAAGTTGGGAGGGGAAAATCCCTGGAAATTGGGGTTGGAGTTTTGAAGTTTTCTTTTTGGTTTTGTCACTTATTTCAGGCAATTAGGTACTACAGTGAAAGCTGGAAAATTAAAGAATAATTCCCTGCACTTTCCACCACCTTTTTTAACATGCTCTTTATGACCTTCCACTTCAACTAAGCTTATGAACAACTGTGGCTTAAAAGACCTAGTTGCTAAACTGGGTCTGTGGCAGGTGATGAGGGAACCAACAAGAGGGAAAGACATACTAGACCTCATCCTTTCCCCATCTGCCAGCTGCAAATGCATCTGTCCATGACTGTATTGGTAAGAGTGACCACTGCACAGTCCTTGCAAAGACGAAGTCCTACCTTCACTTTGAGATTAACCTCCACAGTGCCACATAACACAATCACCGTGCTCAATCGGACAGACTTTGAACAGATCTAACAACTCAATATTAGGCATCTATGAGGTGCTGTGGGCCATCAACAGCAGCAGAATTGCACTCCAGGACAACGTGCAACCTCCGGGAATGGCATATCCCCATTCGGCCATTACCATCAAGCTAGTGGATCAACCCTTGTTCAATGGAGAATGCAGAAGGGCATGCCATGAGCAGCACCAGGCATACCTGAAGATGAGGTGTCAGCTTGGTGAAGCCACCAAACAGGACTACTTCCATGCCAAACAACATGAGCATCAAGTAATGGAGCTAAGTGATCCCACAACCAACAGATCAGATCTAAGCTCTGCAGTCCTGCCACATTCAGTCTTGAATGGTGGTGGATAGTTAAACAACTGACTGGAAGAGAAGGCTCCACAAATATTCCCATCTTTGATGGAAGAGCCCAGCACATCAGTGCGAAAGATAAGCTTTCACAGCAATCTTCAGCCAGAAGTGCTGAGTGGATGAACTATCTTGGCTGCCTCCAGTAGTCCCCAGCATTACAGATACCAGTCTTCAGCCAATTCGATCCATTCCACGTGATATCAAAACCCTGTTGGAGGCCCTGGATACTGCAAAGGCTGTGGACCCTGACAACATTGTGGCAATAGTACTGAAGACTTGTGCTCCAGAACCTGCAGCTTCCCTAAGCAAGCTGTTCCAGCACGGTTACAACTGAGTCGATGAGCAGGTGCTGCTTGATAGCACCGTTGATAAATGCCACCCAGTTTGGGTTCTGCCAGGGCCATTTGGCTCTTGACTTTTATTATAGCCTTGGTTCAAACATAGGCAAAAGAGGTGAATTCCAGAGGCGAGGTGAGAGTGACAGCCCTTGACATCAAGCTATATTCGATCAAGTGTGGCATCACGGAGCCCTAGCAAAACTGGAATTGATGGGTCTTGCGGGGAGGAGAGGGGCGAGCTCTCAGGTGGTTGTAGTCAAACCTGGTACACAGGCAGATGGTTGTGGTCGTTGGAGGTCCGTCATCTCAACTCCACGACTGCAGGAGTTCCTCAGGGTAGTCTCCTAGGCCCAAATGTCTTCAGCAGCTTCATCTGTGACCTTCCTCCTATTATAAGGGCAGATGATTGTGTGCAATACTCAGCACCATTCGTGACTCCTCAGACATTAAAGCATTCTGATTCCAAATGCAAGAAGATCTGGACAACATCCAGGCTTGGGCTGAAAAGTGGCAAGTAACAACATTCACACCACACAAATGCCAGGCTATGACCATCGCCAATAACAGACAATCTAACTACTGCCCCTTAACATTCAATGGTGTTACCATCACTGACTTCCCCCATCATCAACATAATGGGAGTTTTCATTGATTAGAAACTCAACTGGATTCACCACATAAATACAATGGCTACAAGAGCAGGTCAGACACTTGGAATACTGTGGCGAGTAACTCATCAAAGCCTGCCCACCATCTACAAGAGTCGAGTCAGGAGTGTGATGGAATACTTCCCACTTGACAAAGTTATCTCATGTCCCCTTTTTGCCCTCCTGATTTCTCTTTCAAGTACTGCCTTTTATATTCTTCTAGGTATTCAATCAATCCCTAATATCTTATCTTATTCTTGACCAAAACCTCAATTTCTGTAGTCATCCAGCATTCCCTATACCTACCAGCCTTGCCCTTCACCCTAACAGGAACTACTGTCTCTGGACTCTAGTTATCTCCTTTTTGAATGCTTCCCATTTTCCAGCCGTCATTTT